AGAAAACTACCCACTAGCTAGAACACATGTGGTAATTGCCTACCAAGGAAGGGGATTCTTTATATTTTTATTTACATGGAACTTTTTAAGCACACCAAGTTGTTCTGCATGAATTTGATCACCCTTTTAACAACAGCATTACCAGAGCATTATTTTAGTCCTTTGGTACCCATGTGTAATGTTTACAGAACCAGTGTACAGAGCTTCAGGCTTACCAAGAAAAAAGAAAAGTCCCCTTCCCTCAAAGAGCAATTTAGACAATTATTTTAACACAGCTTTGCAAACACAAAAACCCTTACCAGCCCACACAGAGTTCCTCCCAGTCAACCCAGCTGGATTACCCCCAGGTCCCTGTTGCACACATCCAGGCTGCTGAGCATCTCTGAATTTACTTCTGTGTTCCTGGACAGGGAGGTGAGCTGTTGTCATAGAAATGACTTCATAAAGCTCCAAAATGAGACAGGTATAGGACTGAATTCAGGTCCTGTGAGTCACTTGGGTGGGTGCACATGGCCAAACTCACCCCCTCAAAATCTCAGCAGGCTCATCTGTGAAATTCCTACTTATGAAGGCTGCTATGAGGGTGAAGTGAGATAATGGGAGCACAATATAGAGTGAAGGAGTGGAAATGATGTGGTTCTGAGTCTGACACAGGTAGGGCACTGATCCTAACTGGAGCACTCAAAGGCTGTGTGGCCTGGGGCCACAAACGCAAAAAGAGAAACTTGATAGGCTTTACAGGACAGGCAGAGATAATTAAATCAGATACTGTGCATAAAAGGCATAACTAGGGCCTAGCACACAGGAGACATTAAAAAACCACAGAGCTCACACGCATACCACCCCCAATGTTTGTTTTTGAAGGATAAGCTAACTACTACTAGGCAAAAGGTATATTTTTTCCCAAACTTTAAACATCAAAAAATATTAAATCAATCTGAATTGTTAGGAGTGACTTTCCATTAAACACCAATAGCCCATCACTAATGGCCCCATGAGATTCTGCTCAGAAGCATCACCACCTCCATTTTCCCTAACCTCTCTCCAAGCTGCATTTCTAAAAAGCCTCAATAGCGAACATATTGCCAGATATGTAGGTTTGACGAACCTGCTTTTCCAACAGAAAGGCTAACTGCCTTTTGTTAGGCCACCAACATTCCCTTCTTTAAGGAAAACGTTCCAACTAATGTACATAATGCTTAATAATGCCTGTGACCACAGTCCCAAGTTACAATCAAGAAATAACAAAGTGAAAACATCTCTCTGAGAACCCAAATTTCCTTTCCAAGTCACACCACCATCTTCAGAGTGAATATTTAGAAGCATTTCAGAAGTAGAAAAGTGTCATTTTGCATTTCCTCTGCACTACTGGTTGGTGCTAGACACCTAACGTGCCTGCTTTATCAGTCCTCAGGCCAGAGTTCCCAAGTCTGATTCTTTCCAAGGATCAGCAGCACTTGGAAACTAGTTAAAAACACACACTCCAAGGCATCACATACTATATGGAAACATTGCAGTAAAGCCCAGCAATGTGTTGACCCAGCCAGCCTTTGGGTGATTCTGATGCACACTACAGTCTGAGAAACATAGCAAGTCTACTCCATGAAGTAGTCATTGCCAGCCTCACTTTATAGATGAGGAAACCAAACTTCAATGATCGAAGTGCCACAAGTCACCTAGCCAAGAGGCCCCCTAGTACCCATATCTGATTTCAAAGCCATCTGCCACATTGGCCTTTGTAGACAAACTGTGGGTGCCATTTGGTGCTCTCAGATACAAAACTGCCATGTTGTGACAACGACAATACCAAAAAGCAGTGGGAGCAAGAGGAAAGATGCAGTCTTGCACTTAGAAGCGATTAATTATAAATGACTTTAAATCTACACCATGCATTAGCCCTAGATGGCCAGCCACTGCCCAGGATGAGCCTATTTTTCCCTGTTCTATTGATCAACTGGGCTACATGAACAGGAGATAGGAGTCCCTTATATTTCATCCCTCTGTGTGCCCAATTCCTTACACTGCTTTGAATAGAATTAAGTTACCTGTTCTGTGTCTAGAATAGGCTTAAAAGTGCTGCTATACACACTGCCTAGACTAGGACCAACAGGAAATGGAACCAGCCAAAGGCCTTTGTGCACAAAGCAGGCTCCAGTACCTGGAAGCACTGGGGATGAGTCACCCAAAGAATCTAATGCATATAGAGAACATTGTAACAATGTTGCAAATCTGGTTCAAAAAAGGAGGCTTCCCCCCCCAATCAAATTCTAATCTAGAGTCCCTCTGATAAAGTGGCCCATTAAATTACTGACATTCAAACTGGTGATTTCTAGATCAGATTTATCCTATAATATAAATGAACAGTCATTATTCTATGGCAGTTTCTACAGGAACTACTAGAATAGAAGGGACCCAAGTCTGGGAATCATACAGACCTCATTTGAATCCTTGGTTATGCCCAGCAGGTCTTCCTACATTACTTAATCTTTCTGAGTCTCAGTTTTGCCACTCACAGATGGATGATAATATCGATGCTAAATGCTGATGTGAAATCATAGAGAGTTTTTTTGTTTGTTTTGCTGTTGCTTTCTTTTAAAGGCTGCTGAAACAGCTTTGAAAACTTTTACAATGCAAGAAGACTTAATCACTTATCTGGAAATAAGTATGAGCAAACACATCCATAGATGGAAGCAATATTCAATACACACTTACTTTCACATACACTCATGTCAAAGTATTTGTTTTTCTAAATTTCTCTTTTAGACACCATGGAACAAGCTAATTAAGAAATAAAATTCTGCTGGGCACAGTGGCACATAAATGTCTGTAATCTCCACGACTCAGGAGTGAGGCAGAAGGATCACAAGTTTAAGGCCAGTCTCAGCAACTTAGTGAGACACTGTCTCAAAAAATAAAAATAAAAAGGGCTAGAGATATAGCTCAGCAGTACAGCACCCTGGGTTTTATCCTCAGTACCAAAAAAAGAAAAAGAAAAAAAAGAGAGAGAGAGAGAAAGAGAGAAATAAAGAAAACTCCACAGACTATCAAAAAGCTTGTCAATTTTTCAAAACACAACAGATGGACTTGGTCATTTCACAAATGCATCTGACAAAAACAAAATGTGAGAATTTCAATTATAACATCCTGCATTACTTGCAGTACATCACTTCTTCCCTGAGACTGGGTTTCTCAATTGAGGGCACAGGTATAATAATATTCTTGAGTCCAACACACCTGTTCAAATGCCAGTCCTGTCACTGGCCATGTGATCTAGGGCACATGACTTAAGCCCACTGGGTCTCAGTTAACTCCTCTGTAGAAGGGGAATGTGTGACTGATACATGACTGCAGGACCAACTGTAGTGGTTTATGCAAAAGCAAAACAACAGAAGGGATTAATAAAAATGTGTTCCCCTGCCCCAAGGACTACTTGTAACAGACTTTTACTAAGCACTTGCCATATGTCACAGGCTGATCCAGACCCTAGAGAAGTAAGGAAAGAGAGGGCAACCACTGGCTTCAAAGATGTCACAGTATCACAAATGTCTCAGACACAAAGGTGCAAAGTGCTCCAATACTATGTGGGGTGAGGAGTCTAGGAGAGCAGAGGAGAGGGACCCAAATACCAGTGGAGTTCACTGGCAAAGGCTTGACAGAGAGGTTTGTTTGAACTGAACGTATGAGTTAAAAGTTCAACAGACAAATGGAAGTAGAACTACAATTCCTCACATCCTCTCCAATCTCAAACCGCTAAATCCAAGCTCTTTGACTTCCCCAAGGCTCAGGATCACCAGGTACTGATGGCACTAAATAATTATTCATACCCCATCAACATGAGAGAAAGGCTCTGGGAAGGAGTGAGAACAACTGCCAAAACACTTAGAAACATTTCTGGCGCATCCCAAAAGCATGACAATGACAATTCCATGGTTCTTCATGGAATTCACTCTCTTAGCACTTTAGTCCACAAAGAACTGAAAGTTACAAGACCTCCTAATATATTTTCAAAAAAAACAAAAGACCCTTTAACTTTTAGGAAAGCCAAAACATTAAAATAAATCAGTGTCCCAACAACTTTTCAACTACTTTTGCAGGAATCTTCATTCTTGGGAAATCCATGTCTCATTATGAAAGAAGGTTACATAAGAGGCAACCATATTTCTACACTTTCTAAAGGATGGGTCACTTTTCAAGACTGCTAACCATGCTAGGTATTATCACATAAAAGTTTCACGTTTCCTCACACCTCAAATGCCTGGTGGAAGAGAGTGCCCATAGAGCTACTCATCCCTCCAGCACAGGGTTCAGGGAGGCAAAAAGCCTCAGAAGAGACAGGTACATCCCATAGGACTTGCTCTGGGTCCAGGGGCTTGTAGGATGCAGGCAGCCTGAATCATGCCTTAGAATAATTTATACTTTACCAAACTCTTTATGGATTGTAGTTGTTGTTGTTGTTGTTCTGGGGATTAAACCCAGAGGCACTCTACCACTAGCTACATCCCCATCTCTTAATTTTTTTATTTTGAGACAAGGTCTTGCTAAATTGCTGAGGCTGGCCTCAAACTTGGATCCTTCCTACCTCAGCCTCCCCAGTAGCAGGTGTACATCAATTTGCCCAGCTTACCAAACTTTTTAATAGCCAATGCCCAGGCAGACTGATAAAGATAACCAGCCCACTTTTAAAATAAGGAAACAAACTTTGACAATGTCAAAGTAAAAATGCTGACAAGTAAAAGCTGACATCTAGTTGTATTTCACCAACACAATCATTTGTCCCAAACACAAGCAACTAAACAAGTACCATTCAGAAACAAATTGTAGTTCATTTTGATGTTTATTTAAATACAGATGAAACCTTAATTATCAATGCAAACTCAATCACTACTGTGCAGGAGTCAGTATATGATTCTGTCAGCACCTATCATTCCATCTCTAGAACTACAAGATGCCAAATCTTCATTACATTATATAATGGAGGAGTGTAGATAATTAAAATTCACCTTTTTCAAACATTTCAATCCCCTCTTCCAATCTCTTCTTTCACAGGGTATTTTCTGCAAGTGGAAAGAAAGCATTCATACCTCTCATCTTTTCCTGCACATTTTCTTGTGTGAATGTTAAAAATAAAAGGCAGGTGGTGGGATGGGGGGGGGGAGTCTAAACATCTCTAAAATTTTCTTAATTGTCATGAGGAGCTAGCTTCCAGCTCTGGCACTGACACAGCATCGCTGTGTGCCCTTGGGCAAATCACTGTATATCTGGGCCTCAGTTTCTTCCATCAGAAACCCAGTGAGGGTTTTTAAGCCCTCTCTTCTTTTTAAAACACAGATTTCAAATGCGTCCCCCAAGGCAGCACACAGTGAAGGGACCTGCCGGACTCAGTCATGGGTCATGGAATGAACTTTCACAGGCTCTGCTGGGGTATCTAGGGAGCTTAAGCTCCCCCCCCTGCAAAGCCACTGGGCCAACTTCAGGTCGCAAACAAAAACCTGTTGGCATGGACTCCTCTAGGAAAGGCCTACCTCTCCCAACGCGCTGGACTCCTGCTCCCAGGGAGCCGCCCCAAGGAAAAAGAGATGGCTGGCCCCCACGCACCATTCACCCACCCCGATTAGCCGAGGAAGACCGCCGGGGACAGGTCTCTGCCATCCCACGCGGAACAAAAGGCAGCTGGAGCTTGGCTCTGCCGCCCCCGTCCCCTCTGTGCTGTGCGAGTGGGGGCTGGGGAGGGGGAAACCTAGTCCTCCGGGAAGGAAAGGGCCCCCCCCCTCCAGCCTGCAAGAGAAGGATCTGAGCCGGGATCCTGGACAGAGAAGGGGACCCTCCCCCCGATTCCTAGAGGGAGGCCGGGCTGTGCTCTGCCCGGGGGCGGGGGCGGGAGGGAGACCTGGCTGGGCTCCGGAGGAAGGGACTTGCCTGGCCCCAGAGAGGAGAGGAATGTGCTCTGGGGAGAGGGGCGGGGTTGTTCCAAACCCAAGGGAGCTCCCAGATCTGAAGAGAAGGGAAGGAAGCCCCGGACTCCCAAGAATATAAAAGGAAGAGCTTCCAGATAGGGAACCGGGGTGGGGGGTGGGGGGGGCTGCAGCGGAAAGAGGGATCCAGATGAGGAGGGGTCCACGCTCCAGCCTGTGGGGCGGGCCTACTTAGAAAGAAGACGGTCCCGCCCGAAGTGGTGTCAAGAAGCCGGGGCGGCGGCAGCGGTGCATGCTTCGGGGTGGGGGGGGGTCTTGCTAGCTTGGGGAGAGCCTGCGCTCTGGGGGCGTCCGCGCCCTGGGCGAGGGAGGGCCCGTACCCTGTGGTCCCGCTCCAGCTCCCGAGTCCCTCAGGTCCCACTCACCTCTGCTCTTCCCGGCCGCTGCGAATACGCGGCTGGAGCTCTGGCAGCGCTGG